TTCTTTGGACATCGCTCAGGGCTGTGAAGGGACCAGTGAAGGGCAAAAATCTCGAATAGCAAAAATCCCCAAGGATTGAAATTATGATTAAAAAGTCAGGTTCAAGTTTGAGCTTGTATTTAAGAGAAATGGCAAAATGTTTCTTTCTCGCGAGTATTTATGTTTCCGATTGGGAAATAAATTTAACTTGCAGTGTAAAGCGATCACTGGTAAAAGTTTCTAAAATAAATAATCAAAAGGAGAAGACTAACATAAAATGGTTACTGATTTACCTTCCCCAGACAAAACTTCCCCAACAATCAAACAGCACAAGACAGCGAATACCCTCATCTTGCTGAAACCTGAAGATGTGAGTAGTAGTGAGTAGCTCTTGGCTACTTTTATAACAGATCCTAAACCTTAGAAATTTACCCTGTGTAAACTTAAAAGCTGCAGCTGTCTGAAAGGTAAGTCACAGCTGTCTGGAGAGTAAATACTTCCGACTGTGCTTCATGGTAATGAAGGTAATTACTTTGTTAGAAAACCTCAAAAGCACCGGCGATTTCAGCTATATAGTTCATGTTTATATGCAATTAACACTAAAAAGATATTGAAAATAGCAGCTTTCCTCTTTCTTTTTCTTTTGATCTTCGCCGAATGACTGAACAGTTATCTCGCGCGATTACAGATACCTATTTCGCATTTCCTCTGAGCGAAGCTGAAGAAGATATGTGGATTTTGGAAGAGCTATGGAAACAAACTGGCTGCAATTAAAACTAAGAAATGCCATTATCAATCCTTGTTGATTAAAATACTGAGAACAGTTATTCGGACTTTAATTTTCCCAAACCGATCAATCGAGACCGCTTTCTCACATGATGAGCAAACATTCTCACAGAAACATGAATTGATCGTTAGAAAGATGTAAATGTTTGCTAAGAAATTAAACATTTAAAAACTGTTACATGCATTCCAGAACCACAAAGATTTCAGTGAAACATTCAGGTAGCAGCTCTGTTTTAATTTACAGTTTTTTCAGTTTCTTGACTTAGATTCTGAGCATTTTTATTTTCCTTTCCATATTGTTCATATTGTTTAAATTGGGTTCATATTGAAATTGTCGATTTTGCAAAATGATATCACAGCCGTCAGAGTCAATTAGGTGTATTCTTAGGTCTATAAAAGATAACAAGGGCTCAATAACTCCTCTATCATCGACATTCAATGTTAGTAAATACTCTATTCAATTCGCGGATCATTCGCTTACGTAAACACGTTAACAATCCTCCGAGGTATGAATGCGGGAGTAACAACAGTCAACTGATAGCTAGTTAGGGTTAATGTTGGGTTAGGGCAAGGGAAGGTAGTCGCCCAGATACTGATATTGATCTGACAGTCTTTGTTATTGGGCATTTTGACATACTAATATGAAAGGAGGGAAAGATGAAAAACCAGGATGAAAAAGAAATAAAGTGTTACCCTAAATGCATACATAGCTTGAGGTTTGTGATGGTATAGCTGTGATGAACTAGCTACAAACCTGTAATCCCTGATTTGTTTTTTGTAATCTGCCCTGTTCCTCAGTCAGTTCCTTGACCTTCTTCTCTATTGCTGATTTTTTCTCATCCTAAAAGACACAGAATGATGCAAATTTAACTTAAACATCATTAAGAGATTCTCTCATTAAGTAGGGTGTGCACAACCATTAAAAGGTAAAAACTACTGAGGACATTACCAATGCTTTTCACTTCCCACCTT